TCTTTGGCCTTTTCTTCTTCTCCAAACATGAAAAGGCAGGCAATTTAAAGGAAACCTAGCACCCAAGGCAGACCTCAGTTGCCACACTGTTGAGAAGCAGATGTGCTATTTAAGGCAGCTCCCCGTAGACAAAAATCAATCTCTTTCCTCCCTAACTATTTGTCAATATGCACACCCAAAATTTAAAATAAAAAGAAATAAAATCCCTCCATTCTGGCTGTTTCCTTAGGCAGTGAGTCACAGCCCACAGAGAGGCACGACCGCCACCACTCACCAGGAGCGAGCCTGGCAACCTCCTCCGTAACAAGGATGAGGCTCTCACTGCTTGCATCTATCAACACGTCCCCACCTTCTCCCAGGCATGATCACTGGGTAGAAGTGAGCCAGGTCTCCTTTGAACAGCCTTGCAGAGAAAGGTGCATTACTTCTTCAAGCCATGTTTCAGCACTTCTCCTTCCAAAATTCCTTGGCAATAGTAATTTGAGCCCTTCAGCTGATCTTCTGCATATTGCAAGAGGACAATACAACCAGTGAATCCAGTAGGTCTGAACATGGGAATAGCTCCCTGCCCACAGTACTGCAGCCCCTCTATGCATAGGTGGTTCTAACAAGAACTGTTATCCTGAACTATTTTATATTTCATTTCATGCAAATGTTCAAAACTTCATTGTTTCTTCACTCTAACCCCCATCCTAAACTACTTCTGCACATACTCTTTGGTATATCCCAAATTCTTTCTCATTCATTTACAGTTCTTACATTAATGTAGCAGACAGAATTGCTCTGGGACACAGGAGATGTAGGTCCTATTTTTAACCTACCGCTTCTCAGCCTGGTGACCTAGGCAAAGCACTTTCTCTGCTTCAGCTTCCTTATCAGGGAGAGACTGGTAATTCTTTTGTAAAGAGTTTTGTGGCCTCTCAATAAAATATACACTGATAACAGCCAGGGGTTGCTGGAAAAGAGGTGATCCCCTCACTGAATACAATCCTCTCCCTTCCATGTTGCAGCAGTATCTAGGGTCCCAAATGAAAATCAGACCCATACTGCTGATGCAGCACCTGCAGATAGTTACAGGGGATTAGTAAATGCATATTTTTGCCAGGTGGCCCTTGGCAGGTCTGCAGCTGAGGGTCACATCTGCTGGCTACATCTGCTTCAAGCCACCCAGGTCCTCCACCAACATAAAAGCCTGGGCTCTGAACCTCTCCTTTAAGGAGAACTGGTTGTTTCAAAGCCAGTGGAGATCTAACCCCTGGTGATAAGGCTTATTGAGATGCTCCCATAGGATGCATGGCTCCAGAGCCAGCCTTCCCAGGGATGGGATGAGAGGTAGGGACTGGCTTTCCAAACCACTATGCACAGTCTTCATCCCTGAGCAACCCTGCTTGGCAAGGAAGGAAGAAACTGCCAGTGCCATGAGCAAGAGTCCCTCTCTGTGAGCAAACAGGGCACTCAAGAGGTTGTTTATGAGAGATTTTTCACTTTTCCTTTCCTGGCCTGGGCAGAATGCCTGTTTTGAAACTAGAAGGTAAAAAAAAATAAAAATAATAAACCCTGCCCCCCTCCCAGATCTATCTATTTCCCTTTGACAAACAGTGATTTCATTTTTCTTCCCGTCCAGGACTTTTTTTTTTTTTCTCTTTTAAACTGAGCCCAAGCCAACGTGGCAAAAGGCTCTTTGCTCATGTCCTTATTTGTCAAAAACGCCATCACCGCACCCTCACTACCATTCTGGGAACAAGCCCTTGCCTTCAGCTGCTGACTTCAGCTGAAGAGGAACTTCCCAACACAACTCTACCCCAAACCCAGTGCACTCTTTTTTAAAATAAACATTTCCTTTTCTCTTTCTTTTTAAAGCAGTTGATAAGAAAAGAGTTTAAATTTCCTTCTGTTTTCCTCCCAAGCGCTGCAGTGAATCAGAATATGATGGATCTTGATGGGAAAACAGAAATCACAAGAAACTGCCAGATCTGCTGCAAAGGTATTTCACGACCCAGTCTTCTTATTTCCATCAGAGCATAAACACCTCAAGGGAAGTCAGATACTGAAGTACCTTTTTGGATCTGATCCTAAGTGGCCAGTTCCACTGTCCAAATAGATTTAAAGAGATAAACAGGTCTATGAAAACTGGGTATTATTATTTTAACTGCTGCTCTTAAGCTACAACTTAAACTAATAATCTGTGCAGCTTTCAGCTGTCTGCTAACACTAATTCACAAAATGATAATAAACTAAACAAACATATATATGCTGCTTCCCTTACCAACTCAGCACCTAGTATAAAAAGCTTTACCTGGAACCACAGCACAGGTATTTCATAAGGTATCATCAGGACTCTGCCATCCAGAGACAAGTTTCTGTTGTAAAGGGGCTGATTTTCTGGAGCAGATGAATTTCAAACTCTGGAGTAAATCTGGAGGGCTTGCACCAGGTCTGCAGGGGCAGAACTGCTCCAGGCAGCAGTCTCAGATCTGATCCGTGCCCAGGAGAGGGGTCATCTGCTCTAGCACTTAGATTTAGCAACAGAGAAACTGAGGCACAGAAATTAAATGGCCTGGCATTGGAAAGCAGAATCAGGCAAGGCTTTAGTTTGTTGGAGCCAGATCCAACACATGCTCATGAGATCTCTGCCTTCAAGGCAACTGTGTCCTGAGGGCTGGGAAAGGATTTGCAGCAGAAGAAACACAGCCACCATTCATTTTGCTCCTTCAGCATGGGAACCTCTGTCTGGAGTTGTGAAAATGCTTGTGTTCAATGCACAAAGCCATCAAGCAGCTTTCTCCACGACCACCTGCCTTTCCCCCTTATGTCTTGGGCCCTTTACTTTGTGACTTTTGTTGCTCCTTCAAGATAAGGAGCTGGTTTTGCAACATGAGACCCAGCTGACTCCTGACTTAGCCCTGACTTTTGTCTACTCCTCCTTCAGAGGATGGAAGGGAAAAGGGGAAAAGGTGACAAGAGAGGACAGCTTAAAGGAGGGAGCGTGTTCACTGCAGAGAGTACATCTGGGCGTGGTGACGGGCAGGAGCGCTGGGGTACAACTGGCAGGCTCACTTTCGTCTGAACAGTACTGCCATGTGAAGGAACCTTGCTCTAACCAAATTCCTGCCAAAGCCCCATGCTGTGAACACAGCTCCAGCCCCAGCTTCCCAAAGCCAGAGAGAAAGGGTGTGACAAAAAGCAATTTCATGAGCTCAACGGGGAAGAGCCATCCTATAGAGTGGTTCTACCAAGAGGCACATCCCAGTGACAGCCCTAAGTGTCTCAGGCACATCTTTGGACCCACTGCAGGAGGGAGGCATGAGGAGCTGAGGACACGAGCCCCTTCCAATAAACACTGCGAGGTCCCTTCCTTGGGCAATCCAACAAGGGGGAAGCCTGACCCGAGAGAAGCCCGTGAAGTGCCATGACCCCTTCCCACTGCACAGGCTTCTGCGTAGGGAGCCATGCAGGCTGCGCCCTGCCCTCGCTAGAAGCCTGCTGCTCCACTGCTTCCCAGGGCAGTCTGGAAGCTCCCTTGCTCCCAAAGGGTCCACTTTTCTCAGAGAGATAAAAGACAGAACAACACTTGCTGAAGAATTACTTCATTTCCCCAAGGCTGGGAAAAGCCATGCTCCACACTTGGCTGATGTCCCTGACGGCTGCAGCCTTTCCTGGCAAGGGAGAATGATCCTCATTAACCCCTTCCCTCTCAAAGGCTGCTTATAGCACTGAGCCCACTGCAGGAACAGCTGAGACTTTGTGACAGCATCTGAACATCTTGCCACAGGCAAGAGATCACACAAAGCCCATGAAGGAGGGAAATGTTTTCATTCTATAGAGGCACAATGTTGATGAATTGACTCTAGAGCTTATGATGGGGCCAAGAACTAAGCCAGGTCTCTTGAATCCTGTTTAATGTCTGTTCAGTAGCCTATTCTCAGGTTCAAATCCATCCAGGGACACAGGACTGCCACAGCCTTGCAGGGTCATCAAGGGCAGCCACATGGCTGTGGGTATGTGGTTACACAACTCTCACCAGCCTCAACAGTAGATCAAAGTTGCTTTGCTCTCACTACTCCTCCCAGAAGACTCTTACAGACCTTTGCAGTCTCAGTGCTTAGAAACTTTCTAACCACCAGTACGAAGGTACTCCTGGCAAGCTTAAACTCTCCTGTTCCTGCAACACTCACCCAGAGCTGAAATAATTGTTCTTCTCTGGTACTTGATCCCCAGATGTATTTCAAATTTGCATCCATGCCCCCTTCTCAGCCTTCCTTTTGCTCAGCTCACAAGCTAAACTCTTCTGGTCTCCACTGGCAAAATAAGATACTCACTCCTTGATCACCTTGACAGCCTGTCCCTGCAGTCTGAATACATCTCTCCTGAACGTGCCTGAACTAACTCAACAGTACCCAGCACTACAGGCAAGCCAGTGATGTCTGCATAAAGATGTTCATACCTTTTAAAGGTGTTCAAGGTATGTCCCTAGCCACACAGAACATGTCATCCTCACCTGATGCATCTCAGAAGTTGTGCTTTTATTCAGATGGCAAATCTAGAGGATCCAAGCCAGCAAAAAGGGAGTGAAAAGGGTCTTGGTGACATCACTAGAGCCTGGGCCAGGGCTTATTTGCTTCACTTAATTTTAGGCAGCTAAACAAAGCACTTTTAGGATCAGATTACTGCCCTAAAGTCTCTCCACAGTCCATGGAAGGAGATGGCCCTTCCAGAAAACAATTCATTCTGGGAAGGTTTCACTCCCATCCGCCATCACAAGGACATAAGGCAATTAGTCTTCTAATTCAAGCCGGATGGGAAAAATCCTTTAATAGCTCAGTAAGTTTTGAATGGAAATATTCCTTAGTTGGGAAACACAGCTTGCTAAAGCTGACTTGGTTGTTCCTGACACATGATTTCTAACCACAGCACTTCGCCACCTCATTTTATTATCATCCATTCATTTTCACAATTTTTGGATCAGTTCTGCACAAACAATAAAATTCTTGTTCTTTTACCTGCACTTTGAAAGTAACGTCATCCAGAGGGGGTGGGGGAGGGAAGGCACCTTGTGAAGATGTGATGTTCCCGAGTTCATCCACAGGAGGTGGGGGTGGAGGAAGGAAGTCCCCTAGGAGAGAGAATGAGAGAATTTCAACTCACCAGTTTTAATTCGCATCATGATGAACATCACCATGCAGTGCCACACTGCCTCCCACCTACAGACCCTGAGCACCGTCCCCAAATACCACCATGTTCAGAGAGGTGCTGAGCCAAACCCCAGTGATCCACAGTCCTCTGGACCACCCATGCCCAGGTTCAAAGCCCCTGGCTCAGCCCAACCCAGACATGGGTGCCAGCTAGACACCTACATGGTGCCTGCTGCCAACAAGGCACCTTCATGTTATTTGCTGTGGGAAGCAGTCGGGTACAAAGCCCTGGAAAGCTTTCCTGTTAGAATCCAAATCAGACAAAATACAATACAGAGTACAAAGAAAATAAATTTTCTGAAATTAATACTTTGGTGTTTAGTTCTAAAAAATGCTGGGATGTTTGAATGCGACATAAATTTTTCTCCTTTGCTGTAAAAATGACCCTCCAACCAACCAACCAACACAATTTTGGAAATGAATTCAACTCCGGCAGACATCCTTCCCAAAGAATACACAGGTGATGCATCTCCCTGCACAACACATTATTCAGGCACTCTTGCTTTATTACAACCCTTCAGAATACCTTAGCAAAATCAAGGTACAGAATGTGTTGAAGGGGATGAGACAGGGAAAGGGACAAGGCTTGTACATAAACAGAAGGGAAAAGCTGCAACTGCTATAACAGAAGGGGAAAACAAGGACTGCTAGAACAAACAAAACAAACACTGCTTTGCCCCTTTGGAAGATCCATTCCTCCCGAAAGAAAAAAAAACATTAGCCAAGATTTTTCAGAAAAGAAGCAAAGGACAGAAAAAGAGAAGAGCCCTTTTCTGGTGTTTGGAAGATAACACTTTGCAGTAGGAGACAGCTGGCTTTACCACATCCCACCCCAGCTCTGCTAACTCTGTCCTCTGTGTCAGATAAGCTGCTGGCTCCGCTCTCCCCACAAATGGGAAGGTTTTTAGATCAGGAAGCAGAAAGCAGATGCCTGATGAACTGGGGGGACCCTGCAGATGTTTGGCCTTTTCCTGGTCCTCTGCGAACAGATGGACTTTCCTCCTTCACAGCTTTAGTTATTTATTCTGCCACTGCACTTTCCTCTTTCCCACACACAGCCATAGGACCCGATGTTGTTCCCACTGCACTCACGGGAGATTATTCCCTCGGATGCAGGACAGAAAGCTGTTACTCTATTATTATTGGCATTGCTGGAAGTCTTCTTCCAGCAGAGAGGAAAGCAGGCAAAGACTGTAAAAGCTGTGTCCTGAGCAGCATACGGGTTTAGATCTACATTTGAGAGAGCAAGGGAGGATAAAAAGCTGAAAGCAAGCAGGATCTCCCTAAAATGCACCTCAGGGACCTTCACTCACCCCCAAAGCTTTGCAAGCCGGACAGATTTCACTTGCTTAGAGCTGGGCAAGCCATGGGAGGAGTCAGGAAAGTCCTTGTGAAGGTGGAGCGTATCAATACCATCCATTGCTGAGCATCTCCAATGACAGCCAGCTACATGGGGAAACATCTGGGGAAGTGACCGTCCTTTGGTCTGCATGAATGCACCATTGGCCATGAGGAAAATGGGTCTCTGGGGTTACCAGAGTTAACCATGGGCTGGTGGAAGACACACTCCACCCTGAGTGCTCACAGTCTCCTGACTGATTTAACTCTACTGCCCTTCCATGAGTAAGTGATAAGATGGGCAAAAGGCCTATTAGTATTGATCACTGATCAGCACCTGCACTGACATTTTGGTTGACATTCATCTGGCATTAGGGCAAACGCTTGGAGATACTTAAGTTATGAGAGTGACTACACTCAGCTCCACCAACAGAAAGACATCAAGGCACCTCCAGAGGGCAATTTATACCTCAAGGCAGGTGAAATCACCTTCCAACAGCAAATACCCCCACAGAGGCAGCCTCAAGCAGGCACATTCACAGGCAGGAAACGGCATCGTGTCCCTTCTCATGCCATGGCATAGTCTGCCTTCAGCTCTTGCAATGAGAAATCACTACCCATAACCATATGTTTAAAGGAGCTAAATATCTCCTCATTGCACCAGCTAGTCATTTTTTCTTCTTACAGCTGTGAAGACTGTGACTCAACCTACAAAGGGACTGCGCAGTGCGACACATGCACCAGCTGAGTTACTTTAGATAGGATGGCACAACTTGCTGGGAAACCATAGCCCTGAACTCTTCTCTCAGCACTCATGCCCACTGCTGTGCTGGAGCATCAGTCAGTGCAACCACGAGAGATGACACCATTAGCCCCAATAACATTTTCCCCCCATGTTTTACATACAAGTAATTAAATAGAAATTTAGCCAGTTCATCATGGCTGTGTCGGAAAACTATAGCAGAACAATAAGCAGAAGCAGTGCCTCCCAAGCCCCAGCCCAATTTTTGGCTCCAACCAGATCTGTGCCATGCAGGTGCATTTGCAAGGTTTTACCCCTCTCCTTCCCAAAATTTTCCCCTCTTACTCTTTAAAAGGAGATTTAGGTATTTCATTATTACACTTTTCAAATGTACAAATAAAATTTTTTTCAAAGCCTCAGCAGACATCTACATCAGCATGAGCTTGTCAGGCTGAATAGAAACTCATAATATTTTTGCTATTGGCTGCGTGATGCCTTCTGGGTACAAGCACAAGCTGAGAAAAACATCCTGTCTCATGCAACAAGCACGTTTCTCACAGTCTAATCTTTAAATTTTTAAGTGCACTTCAGTTTTTTTGCAGGATCAGGCTGGTGTCTCAAGCCTTTGTTTTGAGGAAGATATATCTGCCAGTCAACAAATGAATTGCAGCACAGTAATTGCCTCCCCCCTTGACTGACACAGTTGTTTAGACATGAAGATTTGCAGCTTTGAAACTTCTAGACACGAAGAAGATCTCACATGTTCAGTAAGAAAAGACTGTTTGGGGGAAAAGCCCTCGGAAACACAAGAAAGCTAACCACCATATTTTTCCCTGAAACAATAACTTAATGAAATCTAACAACCAACAAAACAGGGTTCACACTGGTCTTTCCAAATTACTGGCAGACATCTGAAGACTATATGCCCAGATGGTTTTAATTTTTCTCCTTCCAAACAAAAATAACCCTTTCTCATCATCATCTTGATAATTTCTAGCTCTGAAAATGGGTCAGAAGCAGTTTGAATCAACTGAAAAATACAACTCTCCCTGGGCTCAGAAACTAGACTAAGGACAGTGATGGAGCACCTGATGTGTTTCCGTTCTGGTCCAAACAGACCTCGTCTGGCAAAGTACCAAGCCAATATAGGCATTTCCCATTGCCCAGTCAAGTATTTACCTTCTACTGCAGAAAGTCAAAGTTTGCAATTTGAGGGTGATCTACACTGAAACAACTAAGATTTACCTTAATTTGTTTAGCACTAGGCTAAAACCCTTTTGACTGAGGTTACCATAAGCCCGTATACTTCAACAACCACTGCAAAAACCTGCAAAATATTGCAGTGTTGCTAACTGGTCTGGAAAACTTCATACTGCCAAAGTGACACCACAGAATTTTTATAGAAACCTTCAGCTAGATAAGACTTGGGGACTCTTAGGTGTGAACGCACGTCCTACTAAGTTTCCCAAAGTGAGTATTTTCCTGTATTTAATACACATCACTGGATAATGAAAGCACATGATTAAAATCATGTTTTATATCAGTGCATCACTGGTCAAAACCATGTCATGAGGGGTCATTGGCACCATGACAGTGTGGGGCAAACCACCGTACAACTACACACCAGCTCCACAATCTACCTAAATATACCACATTGGCCTGTGATTTCTAAAATGAAGCAGCTCCACCAACCCAAGGCACTGTTTAAATTACTACTCTCTTACCAATCACTAATCCTGCCATTTGAACTACTTTTGCTAATCAGCTACTGTATTAATAAGCAGGAGGGAGAAAAAACACCCAACAAAACAAAACAAAAACCCACAATGGCTAATTTCATCATCAGCATTTAAAAAAGGAATACTGAGTCTGTCAGGTAGTTGCACTGAAAATTTACTTCACCACCTGCTAGCTGAAATATTGCTTTTATGGATTTATATTGTATTAAAAGGTCACTGGCTGTTTAAGTCTTAAACAGTTTTAATCATTCTAAAAGTCTCTTAACAGTAAGAAAAGGAAGCTCAGAACAAACAGCAGCAGGGATTCTAATTAAAAGGGCCAATTCATCTAATTTTATTTGGGGTTAATTATTCAGGATTCACTCTCTGATGTGTAAGGAATAGCAATTAGTAATTTTAGTGATTTGAGGAACATTGGAGGTGTAATCAGTTAAAATGAGTGAGTGTTTACAACACAAGATGTTGAATTAGTTTCTCTCAGCTGGAGAACAGGAACATTAGTCCCCTACAGTTCAGGACTATGAATCGCAGTCCTGTGTAAAATACTCTCTTCAAACAGAAGAAAACACACACTAACAATCATCTGGTAATTTTGTTTACTACATGGAAAGTCAATAGCCAACACATACCATAGCAGCTTATGCATCTTTACCTCCACCTTCATCCCACCATCCAAACACCCAAACCCCTGGGATTCACTGGAAACAATTCCCATCATTCTTCCTATCAGTACAACTTCAGCCGGACTACCACCCTCCTGCCATGCTGCCTTTAACCACAGCTGACTGAGATAATGAAAGAAGCAGCTTGTGAAACTTTCAAATGTTAATTAACTTTGGTGGTTAAATATACAGAGGAAAAATGACCGTGCGATTAATTTAAAACCTCTAGGTACAATTCCTCCTGCAAACGCAAATCCAAAATAGCTCTGCTGGAATCATTCTGGATCTCTTCCAGTGTTACTAGAGCCAGAATAAGGTACTAAAGCTTTCAGGAGTAGCAGATGAGACTCTGATGGGGACAGAGGAGCTGCGTGGGGGAGTGCCAATGAGGAGATCCAAAACTAGCTGCTTTGACATTTGGGTCTGAGCTGAGGCAGCAG